GGCCCCACTGTGCCCCCAGGTGCTGCCAGCAGATGAGGCGGTGGAAACGATGCTGGCACACATGACGGACCCCTCCAATGCCTCCCACCTGCCTCTGAGCCCCGGTGAGCCCCCCCTGGCCCTCCGCACCCCCCCTGGATCACCCAGGCAGGAGTCTCATTCTGTCCCCTACCCTGCAGGAGCCTCTGTGGTGCTGGTGGTGAACAACCTGGGTGGGTTGTCCTGCCTGGAGCTGAGCATCGTGGCCGGCGCAGCTGTGCGCTGCCTGGGTGAGTGCGGGGTGGGGGTCTTGGGGCACCATTCCCTGGGTCTGGTTATTCAGCTTCTGGGGACCCTTCCCGCAACACCCCCCTCGCTCACGGAACCTCCCGTGCCCGCAGAGAGCCGAGGCATCCACATCGCCCGGGCCTTGGTGGGCTCCTTCATGACGGCGCTGGAGATGGCCGGGGTCTCCCTCACCCTCATGCTGGTGGATGAGGAGCTCGTGGGGCTGATCGGTGAGTGCCTGCTGGTGGGGATGCAGCATGGGACGGGAGCACGGGGGTCCCCAGGTGCTGGGTGATGGGACAGCCAGGACACAAGGTCAGTGGGGTGTCCCAAGGTGCCCTGGAGCTGGATGCCTGGCTGCCTGTGCAGGCAGCGCTGCCGGACACGCTGGTGAGGATCCAGCAGAGTCTTGCTGAGCTGGCGCTCGCCTTTCTCTCACCTCCTGCTATTCCAGATGCCGAGACCACGGCCATGGCTTGGCCCAACCTGGCCGCGGCGCCTGCGACAAGCCAGAGACAGGAGGTGCCGGCGCCGAAGGAGGGACCAGTGATTGCGCAGCTCGAGACCAGCACGGGTACGGGCAGCCCCGGGGAGCTCGAGTCCCTCAGGAGCTGTTACGTCCCCGTGCCTCGGTTTCCCTGTCTCCCCCAGGGATGGGCAGGGGTGACGTCTCCTCCCCGCAGGGCCCGGTGCAGCGCGGGCGCAGCTGGTCCTGGAGCGGGTGTGCAGCACCCTCCTCGACATGCAGGACAAGCTCAACGAGCTGGACCGTGAGGCAGGTGACGGGGACTGTGGCCACACGCATGCTCGGGCTGCCCAAGGTGGGTGCTGGCACCCTGGGGGAGTGCTGGGGGGCCATCAACCAGGGACTCGTGGGGAGAGGGTACCCCAGCCATCACCTCCCAGGGGTGGGGTCTTCCCTGGGACATCGCTTCTTGGGGAGTGGGGAACCCTGAGCTGTTCTCTCCAGCTGGGGAGCAGGATCTGCCCCTAAGCTGCCCTTTCCTGGGGGGATAGGGTCCCCCCCAGCCATCCCTTCCTAGGGGACAGGGTCCCCCCACCCTGGGAGCCACAGCCCCGAAATTTCTCTGCACCCAGTGGCAGCTGGCCCAAGGCATTGTGGGGGGTGTCCCTGCTTGTCCCCAAGAAGGGCAGGGATCCCCAGGTGCCCCTGGGGCAGTTAGGGGTCCCTGGCTGCCCCCAAGGGACACAGGGGTCCCGGGGGCCCAGTGGGTCACCGCTGCCATCCCTGTTCTCGCCTCTGTCCCTGCAGCCATCCGGGAGTGGGTGCATGCCCAGCCCCTGCCGGCAGCCCCGGCCCAGCTCCTCTCTGCCCTGGCCGACCTGCTGCTGGAAAAGATGGGTGGCTCCTCTGGCGTGGTGAGCGTGGGGTAGGAGGAGGGGGCGTGGGTCTGGCTCGTCACCCCGTGGGACCCCGGCTGTGCCACCACAGCGGGCAATGACGGGGCCGGTGTCCCGGCAGCTCTACGGGCTGTTCCTGACGGCGGCCGCCCAGCCCCTGCTCAACCGCAGTGATCTCCCGACCTGGGCTGATGCCATGGACGCCGGCATCGAAGCCATGCAGCGGTGAGTGCTGTGGGCTGCGGGACTCCCGGGGCCCTCCACGGGACCCCCAATCCCTCTGCAGGATCCTGCCAACCCTCCTGCATCCTGCACAGGTACGGAGGAGCTGCGCCGGGGGACAGGACGATGGTGAGTGCCGGCGTCCCAGGGGACGGTGGGCAAAGCCACCTTGTTGCCCGCAAGCCACGGGGGCTGCCGGCCTAGCCGCAGCCCTGGTTCTCAGCCCCCTTCCCCGTCTCTCCCAGCTGGACTCGCTGTGTGCTGCGGCACAGGCTCTGCACGCCCTGCGCAGCCCCGGCGCCGACCTGCTGCCGGTGCTGACCGCCGCCGTGGAGGTACGGGGCAGGGGGAACCCAGCAACCAAAGCCCGGAGCGGGCAGCCCAAAGCCAGGCTGGCAGGGGAATGGGGTAGGAATCACCGCGCTGGGCCACCCCGGCAGCATCCCGAATGCACCCCATTTTTCCCTGGCAGAGCGCGGAGGCCGCGGCAGAGGCCACCAGGCACATGGAGGCAGGGGCAGGCAGAGCCAGCTACATCAGCTCAGCCCAGCTGCTGCAGCCCGACCCAGGGGCAGTGGCGGTGGCGGCCGTGCTGCAGGCCGTGCTGGAGGGGCTGCGGAGCTGAGGGGCAGCCGGCCATCGGTCACCCCCGTGCAGCTCCAGAGGTGACGGTGAAGACGTGACAGGACACCCCAGGTATCCCCAATAAACCTTCATGGTCCCCTTAAGCTGGCCCAGAGTGTCCTTCCCCATGAGAGGAATGGGATGGTGGGGATCGGGGCTGGCCCGGATGCACCCAGTTCCTCCAGGACAGGTCCCCATCTTAAGCTGGACAGAAACAGAGATCCATCTGGTCCTATGCTCCAGTATGAGCATGACTGCTGGGGAGGAAGGAAGCTTCTGGGCTGGCCACAAGCCCTCCCCAGTGGGTGCTGGGAGGGGAAACCACAGAACTCACATGGCCCCAGGCACGGGGCTGGGAGGAGGCTCGGGGAAAGGGACAAAGAAGAACCAGGGGCCGGGGCAGAGCCCACCGGGCAGCACAGGGTGGCCCCAAGCTGGGGCAAGGGCCTGGGGTGAGCAGGGAGACTGGCCAGCATGAGCCCAGGCTGCCAGGGGGAGCTCCAGCTACCGGTGGCGGAAGGGAGGGAAGGAGCCAGCAAGGACAAGCCAGGCTCTCAGAGGGGACACAGCCTCTAGGCAGCACGGCTTCACTTGGCCAGCACCGGGACTTGCTCCCCAGACACCCACCTCTCCTGCCCCGGCTCCTGGAGCCCCCCCTTGTCCCCAAGGATGTGGGTGCAGGAACACTGCAGAAGCCAGCGGTTTATTACATGTCCACGAGGGCCCCGGGAGGCTGCTCGGCTGGTCCCGCCACCTGTACCCGCAGGGCGGAGAGAGAGGCACAGGCAGCCCGATGAAGGGCAAGGCACAGTGCGAGGGTCCCTTCCATCCCTGCCGCCCCGAGCTGGGCCACCCCACGCAGGAGATGGTCCCGGGGTGGGGGGGGGTAGTGCTGCCAGGCACATGGGTGCTCCTCCAGCAGCTTCTGACCTGACAAGGCTCTGACAGCTCCGGCTGCTGCATTGAGCGATGGCACTGCAGGGCCCGGGGAAGGCTTGAGGGCAGCCAGTTTGGCACGGACCAAGGTCCAGGTGTGAAAGACCAGCTCGACCCAGCAGGAGCTGGCATGTGGAGGCATGAGGATGGAGGCTGAAGCATCACACTGCAGCTGCCCTCATCCTATGGCAGGCAGGAGGCCAATGCCAGGCCACAAAGGAGGCAAAGAGATGTCCTCATCGCAGCAACATCTCTGTCGTAAGGGAGCTGAGCCTGTTCCTCCCACGGGCAGGTGAGCGTCAGGTGCAGGCAGCGGGAGCCCCCGGCGAGGGCAAGGTGACAGGCCGAGAGCGGAGTCGGCGGTGCAGGCAGGGAAGCGACGGGGTTGGACAGCTCAGGGCTGGCAGCCCCGGGAGGGCAGGGAGAGACCTTGGCTGCCATGCAGGTGTCAGCGCTCGGCAGTGAGCAGTGGCTGTGGGGAGAGTATGGGTGAGCCTGGTACCTGCACCCCTCCCTGCCTGGCCCACTGTCCCCCCCCACCCCAGGGATGAGCCAGCTGGGGCTGTGGTGGGAGGCAGGTCGCTCAGCTCGGCTCCCTGAACCCACCCTGCGTGCAGCCAGCGTGCCCCCGCAGCGGAGCTGGTACCTGGCAAGAGTCTGGGGAGTCAGCATCGGGGCGCTTCCAGCTCGGCCTGGCCAGGGCACCCAGCACCAGCACCCCAAAGAGGATGATGAGGAGCCCCAGCGTGTTGGCAAAGACAGCCTCAGCAGGCAGGCACTTGTAGTCCATCGTCCCGTTCTTCCTTGGGAGAAGAGGGGCCAAAAGCTTTCCTGAATGTGCCCAGCCTTCCCCTAAGCCCACGCAACCCTGTACCCATGCCACAGCAAGGAGCTGTGCAGGTTAACCACACACCTGAGGGAGAAATTGCTCACTTCCCTTCGCCGCCCTGTGATCAGTTTCGCTCTGTGCCGCTTCTGACACCGAGAGACAACGACCAGCCCAAACCACCCCTGCCCCAAGCCTCCCTCCCTGCAAAGGCTCTCCCCACACCCGCCGCGATGCTCACAGGCTGAAGAAGAGCTTCTCATTGATGCCCGACACGCACGAGGCCACGGACAGCATGAGGATGGTGGAGCCGAAGAAGACGTGGACGGGCTTGTAGAGGGCACGGAGCCAGGCAGGAGCCCAGGGCAGCAGGAAGGCGCTGAAGCCGGCCAGCCACTGCAGGGAGGGGAGGTGAGGGCGACGGGCATGGAGAAGGGAGCCAGGGTGCGGGGGGGCCGGAGCAGCACCCACCTGGCAGGAAAAGAGCAGCACAGTGGCCAGCCCCAGCCAGCTGTGCAGCGAGTACATGTTGGGCGTCCCGTGGTTGTTGTGGAAGCGAAAGACGGCCACCAGCCCTAGCACGGCCAGGCTGAAGGCTGCCAGGGTCAGGGCACCGTGCAGCACCTTCCAGGGGAGCTTGGGGCCGCTCCAGGCGGGGGGCAGGCGGTACACCAGGGCCGCTGTTGGGCGAGAGAGTCAGGCAAGAGCTGTTCCAGGGCCGCGCCGCACCGCACGCCCCGCTCACCTGCACCGTACAGCACCACCATGCCCGTCACCATCAACACCGGGTGCCAGTTGAACATCTGGAGACTGCCGTCCAAGGCAAAGCCGCCGCGCCAGTGCTGGCACCAGGCACTCACGAAGGCCACGCAGATGAAGCCCAGGCCGCCGAGAAAGATGCAGAAGGGCAGGAAGGGCAGATCCAGCATCTCTGCGACAGGATGGCGGCACCTGGGGAAGAGTGAGACGCCTGCTCAGCCTCTGCCGGGGCTCTCCGCCTGTGCCGGCTCTGGCCTGCGTGCAGACACCCCCAGGGAGGAGCCAAACTGAAAGGGGAACCAGGCACCCCAAGGAGGGGTGGCCCTGGCCCAGCTGCTGCCTGGCCAGGGAAGGATGCCAGGACTGGAGCCAGCCAGCTGGGGATGTGCAGGACAAAACCAGCTCCTGTAGAGCCAGGTCCCTGGGTAGCACCCTACCGTGCCACCCTGGTGCCAGGGGACAGCAGCAAGGGCCTCACAGAGGGTCTAAGTGTCTCCTGTAACCCTGCGCTCCCCCAGCACCCCCTACGCTGTCCCCAAGAACCCACTGACCTGATCCCCTCCCCCCTCAGCACCTTGTACCCCCCCCGCTGCACCCACAGAACAGGGCTCACCCCACCTGGGTGCGAGGAGGTACTCTTGTACCCCGCCCCCCCCCAGATCCTGGCAGCCCCAGCACCCCTGCTCCCTCCTGCCTGCTCTGCGCCAGTCCTCACTCCCACCTGCTTCATGGGGGTCAGAGGCAGGGGGACAGACCCCACAGGCAACAGCCCCACATCCCTGCCTGGGCTGGGCAGCGGGACTGGCAGTGCCTTGCCCTCGGTGCTGCCCTCAGCCCACGGGGCTCGAGCAGGTGACTGGCAGGAGCAGGGCTGAGCTCATTTGCCTAGTGTTTTGCATCTGCCTCCAAAAATAGATATTTATGTCTCCTCCTGGGGCGGGTGACAGCCTTGTGTTCCCCCGCCGCCCCCAGCCAAGATCAGCCGCCCCACGGGACCGTGAGGCAGGAGGTGGGTGGGACGCAGCCCCGATGCAGCACGAGGACCGCAAACTCAGCCACCCACTCGCTCCGAGGCCTTGCAATGCTTGCCACGGCGCTGAGCGGCCCCACGGCTCCCCCGGGCCTGGGCCCCACGGCTCTCCCAAAGCCTGGGCCCCACAGCTCCCCCAAAGCCTGGGGATGTGGGGTCTGGCCCCACGGCTCCCCTACAGCCGGGGCCCCGCAGTTCCCCCAGACCTGGTGACACAGGGCCTGCCACCACGGTTCCCACAACACTGGGAACACGGGGCCCGGCCCTACGGCTCCCCCGGGCCTGGGGACACGGGGCCCGGCCCCATGGCTCCCCGGAACACAAGGCCCCGCGGCTCTTCCCGGCTCCGGGAACACGGAGCCAGCCCCACAGTTCCCTCAGCCCCGGGGTCTGGCCTGGTCCCAGGGCCGTACCTCAGTCCCTCCCGCCGCCCGCCGGACCCCACGGCCCCCTCGGCCTCGCCGGGCGCCTCCATGTTGGACGGCGCCGCTCTGGCAGTTCGCCTCTGTGGTAGCTGCCTCCGACCCCCGCCACCCCTCCCAGTACGCGTAGCCAGCGAGAGCGACGGCCAGAGCGGCCCCAGCGCGGTTCCTCCAGCCGCCCGCTTCCGCCCCCACCTCAGTGGCTGTTCCGTTACCCTGGAGACGGAAGATGGCGGCCGCAGGTCAGCGCCCGGCCGCTGCCGGGGTGCGGAGGGTGGGACGCGGCGGTGACCGCCGGCACCCGCAGCTCCGGGCTCCGCGGATTGCCTGTG